TCAGGGCACCTCCACATTCCTAGATTCACAAGAAGCCTATGTGAAAGATATGTCAAGGCCAGCTCTAAGTAATAGCAACCGTAAGTCACAATATGATACCAGGAAAATGTAGAACTGTTATGAGAGGATTATTGCTGTTCTTGTCTACAAGAAATTCTTTGAACTAAAGGACACATGGATGTTTCTTGAAAAATAATACTGCCAGGTTTGGTGGCACAAGCCTATAATCTCAGCAATTTGGGAGGCTGGGGCAGGAGAATTGCAAGTTCAAAGCCAGCCTCAGCAACTTAGTGAGGCCCTAGGTAAATTAGTGAGACTCTGTCTCAAAATAAAAAATAAAAAGGGCTAGGGATGTGGCTCAGTGATTAAACACTCCTGGGTTCAACCCCAGTATTATATAAAAAAATCTAATTTACATCAACAAGGTATATGATCTAAAACAAAAAATAAAATAAAATAAAACAGAGTTTCAGTGTTATTTTGAATTCTAGATTATAAATAATCTCACTACTATATAACTAGGATAGTTAGTAGCACAATTAAATCAAAGAAGAAAGCTAGTTGTAAATGTAAATCAGATTTCTTAATTATTACTATAAAAAACAATTCAAACAAATAGCATTTTATAGCTCCCAAATTAAAAAAAGAATTGCTTTTTAGAAATTTCAGTTCTCAAAACAAACTATCAGTTCTCATGAAATGTGCCAACAATTTCCTAGAAGGAAAGAAGACATCTAGAGAGAGGCTTTATTTAATCCATTACCAAATTTTAGAATCTCTTTATTATGCACATTCATGCTGCCAATGGACAACTGAAGAATTTCCAAGAATGGAAGTGAATTTGAGTCACAACTGAGGAGCATGCTGGATTATAAAACAATGGAAGAAGGTTAGATACTCAGCACCTTAAATACAACTGTTATCCAGAACATCTACCTCTCTGACCCATCTACCTCCCTGCTTCTCCCTCTTATAATAACAGCATAAAACTCGGGTTTGTTTTTCTGTTCTTACTATTTTTTAAATGGTTAGTTTTTGCCCTATATTTTAATTATTCAGTAACTGGTTCGAATAACCTTTTGCAAGGCAGCCCACCAGCTTATAGATGTTATTTCTGTAAGTTGCCTGATAATAGTCTGTGCCATAAACCCATCTGTATATTTGATAAATATTTATGGAGTACTAAATATGTGCTGTGTACTTTTCTCATCACTGTGGATATAGCAGTTATGAAACACAAAATATCCTCCCCTCTTGTAGCTAACATCATAGCTGAAAGGTGAATGAACTATGTACATTGTGTTGTCTGGGTTGGGAGGGGATTTTTAAATTTTAATCCCTTTCAATACGTGACATCATAAGATCTATGAGAAAAAAGTAAAACAATTTTTAACTGAGTACAAATTTAACTATAGTTTTTCAGGAGAGAGAAAGATGGAGAAAGGTAAGAAGAAAGATCAACAGTGAGTTCTTATGTTCCACTTGGTAACTATATGACTGTAGACAAGTTGTATAACTTCTCTCATTCAGTTTTCTTTAAAAAAAGAAAATAATAATAATAATAATTTTTATTTGCAAAGGATTGTTGTAACTTTATATATAAAAAGAGTTTAGAATAGTGCCAGGCAGAGAAGTGTTTGCTCTTATTACCAAATAACAATTATTAACAAATATTAAGCCTTGGCTTTTGGGATATGCCTAAGTGTTTATATAAGATGTCATTACTTTGATTCAGATAAATTGGAGTGGCAGCAGCAGCAGGAAGACTATGAAGGGGCTCTGGGGTCTGAGACACAGGGTGTGAATCCCAAGTCTGCAGAGTTTCAGTGATAATGGCATGACCTCCTTTAAGTTACTAGTCTTTTCTGAAGTCTCAGTGATCTCTTCTGTAAAATTTCCATTTTGTAAAGTTGCTTAAGAAACTTATGAAACAATGTAAACAGAAAACCTCTGGGAGACACTGGCGGTCAAATTGACAAAATTACAACACATCTTGGGTAGAATTTTGCTCTTTTTAGATAGTATAAGTGCTCAAGAGACTACCATTTGAAAGAGTCATCAAGCTTTTGAACTCTTAGACATGTAGTTGATATTCCCATTTTTACCTACTTTTAAAAGTACTCTCTCTACTAGTTAACTCTGTAGGTCTAACCTGCTACTAAATGCAACTAAAGGAGGGTAAATTCATTTCTTAGAAACTCCTGTTACTTCAGAACATTCTCCAATTGATATTAGCTTTCCACTGCATTCATTGAAATCAGAGATCACACCAATTTTTCTCTGTTCTAAATAAGCATTTCATTTTAATAAATGTACTTTAGAGTTGCTGACCTGCATGGTTTAGCAGTGGTATGGATGCCAAATAGGAGTGCAGGGAAAACCTCCATTGAGGGTCAGTTGAGTATGTGGCATCTCTTCTCCTATTCCCACCTCCATTTTATAGAGCAAGGCAACTCTACAGGGCACCCCTGCCCACACTTCATGGAGGTCCACTGTGACCCCTTTCTATTTGTCAGGAGAAGTAGTGTACCCCATAGATTAGGGATCAGGACACCTGAGTCTATTCCCAGTTGGCTGGCTTATTTACCCTGTAGCAGAGGGAAAGCCACAGATACACCTGGACTTTCTTTGTAAAATAGAATAAAAACTTATTTTTCATAATAGCATTGTGGTGGAGTTTAACATCATAAAATGTTTTGAAAAGCTTGTTAAAGAGCACAAGACTGCTACTATTGCAATGGGTTGCCATAAGTGGGGATCATAATAACCTTATCTTTTTTATTCTATTTTTTCTCCTAAAGAGCACTTATTAAACATTTTAAGGTCTCTTATTTTCCCCTTAGAAGGGATGGATCTGATTTTTTTTCTTCCTGTCACTTTCTAGGGTCAAATAATGAAAATAATTTTAAAAGCTTCCCTCACTAAAAGAGAGGGAGAGAGGGAGGGAGAGAGAGAAGGAGGGAGAACAGGAGGGAGAGAGAGAAAGAGGGACAGAGAGAGGGAATAAGAGAGGGAGGGAGGGAAAGGGGGAAGGGAGAGTTGTTAACAGAAGACTTCAGTGAAAAACAATCCAATCAACTTGTCTGTAACATTGCATGTAAATAAGACCAAAATGAGGAAACTAGGCCGAGAAAGGTACATTGTTTGTCTCTTCCTTGTTTCTGAATGAAACTAACTAATAATATCTTGCCTCTTTCCAAAGTTCTGAGAGCCTCCTCTGTGTCACCAGATACAGTGATAGGATCCTAGTGCTGGGGCACTAGGAACAAGTCAGAAAGGACTGTGCCTTTAGGGGCTAAAGAGCAGGAAGATAGGATGGATATAAAGTTCAATTATTTATAATTATAATAAGAGATACAAGAAACGAAGTATACAATCTTTGAAATTTCAGAGAAAATTTGCAGAGAAAAATTCTTTCCAAGCATTTTCCTGAGAAAGGGATTTCATAACCTCTGCTTTTTCTGATTAACAACTTTCAGAGTTAAGAACCTCTTGCTTTTATGTAATAGAATTTATGCTTTTTATTTTCATGTTATTTTTCAAGAGTGATAAAGGAAGATGGTACTCTCTTCTAGTTCTAAGAGCCCTTCAAATATTGGCAACTGCTTCCAAATAAGATGAGTATCCAAGCTTTAAACACAATGCATAACATTAACATGGTTACAGGTTCTTTGCTTTGAATTCATTATCAAAAAATATTGTCGAACTTTTACAGAGATAAAGGCATGTTTTCCCAACAAAGCATCAGCAATAGTTCTAAAAAAGTTCAAGCCTTTTCCGTATCCTAATCAAAATGATCTCTGAAAATAGAGAGCTATTCATCAATCTCAAAACACCAGACTATCAGAGGCAATGGAAATGATGAGATAAAAAAGCAAACTACAGAAGGCAAGAAAATATTTGCAAACTATATATCCAACAGAGGGGTTAATACCTGGAATACATAAGAACTTACTCAACTTAATAACACAAATCAAACAACACCATAAAAAAACAACCAATTTAATATGGGCAAAGGAACAGAGCTCTCAAAAGACTTACAAATGGTTAACAGGTATATGAAAAATGCTCAATACAACTGATCTTCAGGGAAATGGAAATCAAAACCAGAATGTGGCAGGTATCACCTCACTCCTGTTAGGATGACTATTATCAAAACCAAAAACTGCCTACCACCCCACTAAGGGTTGGTGAGGACAAGGGGAAATAAGAATCCTTAGGAACTGTTGATGGGAATGTGATCTGGCGTAGTTCTTGGGGGCGGAAAAATAAAGAAGTATCCATAGGATTTAGTGATCCCACTTCTGGTATATAAGGCAGATACATAAGGACAAACAGTGCAGAACCCCGTATATGAGAAATCTATTTTTTATTATTATGATTATATTTGTTTTGCTTAGTTGTACATGTCAGCAGAATGCATTTTAATTCATCATATACAAACGGAGCACAATATTTAAATTCTCTGGTTGTACACAGTGTGGAGACGCACCATTTGTGCAATCATATATGTACTTAGGAGAAGTCTAAACTAGTTGAACCCATTTAAGTGGAGTGTAGAACAGTGATTGCTAGGGGTTAGGAAAAAGGGAAAATAGGGCAGATATTAATCCTGGGGTTCCAAGTTTCAGATGTGCAAGTTGAGTAAACCCTATGGACCTACTGCACAGCAGAATGCCTACAGTTAACTATATTATACACTTAAAAATTGCTAGGAGGGTAGATCTCATGGTAAGTGTTTTTATCACAAATAATAGTAATAATGATGGGGAGGATAGGAAGAAACTTTTGGAAATAACGGATGGGTTTATAGCATAGATTTTGGTGATGGCTTCATAGCTGTATACTTATCTCAAATTTATCAAGCTGTATACAGTAAGAATATGCAGCTTTTTGTGTGTCAGTATTCTTCAAAAAAATAGTTTAATGACGACAACAACAACAACAAAAAAGACACCACATTAAAAATACTGGCACACGCATGCAGAGACATTAATTACCTGTTTCCTTTTCTGCCAGGCCTAAAACATAAGAAAAGAGAATTTAGGAGAAAAGCAAAGCCTACTCATGTTGTTCATGTAACACTAAAGGTCAATCAAACAAGAAAAAGTAAGTTCTCCTTACTATTTCCAACTTAAATTTGTTTTGTTCTTGGCCTGTTCCTAGACACAAAACAAAAGCATATTTTACAAAGATAAAAAGGAGGGAGAACGTAGATAATTAAAAAGCTAACAAGCAAGAGATTTTGTGTGTGTGTGTGTGTGTGTGTGTGTGTGTGTGTGTGTGTGTGTGTGGTGCTGGGGATCACAAACCAGGCAAGCACTTACCACTGAGCTACAACCCAGCCCCACATCATTTTGTTTGTTTGTGTTTTTTTGTTTTTTGTTTTTTTGTATGTGTGTGTTTGTTTTTAGAGGAGATTACTTGGTAGTTCCACCAGAGTTCCACTAGACTGGAGATATGAGGTGAGGCAGGTGTGTTCTCTGCTCATTCTCCATTTGGTCCAGCATAGGCTTTCACTAATACAGAGTTATCTTTACATGCATGAGTAAAAGAAGTTTCTTTATTCATTTTAACTTGGCTCCATGACTATAATAAAATACATGGGTTCATAGAAAAATACATTGTGTATCTTTTCAGTATTTTTGAATAGGGTAATGGTCAAAAATTGTTATCTAACAATGAAGATCAAAAGGAACCACATAGGGGGCTGGGGATGTGGCTCAAGTGGTAGCGCGCTCGCCTGGCATGCGTGCGGCCTGGGTTCGATTCTCAGCACCACATACCAACAAAGATGTTGTGTCTGCCGAAAACTAAAAAAAAAAATAAATATTAAAAATTCTCTCTATCACTCTCTCTCCTCTCTCACTCTCTCTTTAAAAAAAAAAAAGGAACCACAAAGTGTTTTGGATAAGGTTGATGAGATTTATACGAAATAATGTTGTGCTTATTGAAGGTATGCACAAACTTTTTTCTCTTTGACATATCTGAAAGGTTTTAATATGTCCATTTTTATGTTAATTCTTTGAATCTCTGTTCAGAACACTTAATACTCCTGAACATGAAAATTATTTGAATGAGTATTCAAAACTGAAAACCAATGTGTTTATCTTCCACTTTCTGCAAATGATCTAATATTCACTGCTTTTGCTTTAACACGACATGATATCATAATTAATGATGTTAAACTGGTAACTAAGGAGGTGTCATGTTGTTACTCTCGTGATATAATATTGGTTGCTATAGTGATGAGATGGCTTTTTTGTTAATCACTCAGGAGGTTGGTTATCACATGCTTGTTAGAGAGCTTGACCAGATTTAGAGAGAAAAAAGGAGTGATAGTACAACCAATTATAATCAGATGTTTTCCATTGCCTGAATTTTGATAATACTATCCTAATATTAACTAATTCATAAATTTATAATTCACTAAGAAAAATTTTCCATTGTTACTACAATTTTTCTAAAGGATGACTTGCTTTTCATTTTCAGATATAAGTATTTGATATTAACTTCAAACTTCTTTCTCCCTCAGGTAATGCTATGTATTTACATAGGTCAGTTTTATGGTAATTTGAGCAAAGAATCAGAGGTCTTTTTTGGTTCTTTTAAATAAATCTTTCAAAGGATCAATGAATAGATGCTGATTTTGTCACAAATTCCAATCTGTTTATCTCTAAACATTTTAAATATGTTAAAAAATGAATAAAACCCAAAGAAAGAGAAAAAAAAAAAGCACAGTCCCCTTGAGAGATCTAATCTTTTAAATGCATCAATATATCGCAAGCAATTAAAAGCTGCAGGAAGTTCTATTGGTTTATTTCAGCCCTCACAATAATCAACAAGTTTCTTCCTTCTCTGAGTGACACTGCAGAATAGAAAATAAAATTACATAATACTACACTGAGACTGATCAGGAAAGAGTGCACAGCCCAACATTGAAATGTTAGACATACTTACAGTAATGTCAAAAAATACAGCCCGTGAAAACACCTTTTGGTTTCTCGAAAACTCAAAATAAGAACAAAGGACAACTTAGGCACGAATCCTGGGTCTTTCATTCAAGCAGAGTCCCAGGAGGCATATTAAAGCAATGAATAGGAAAAAGCTCTTCAGTTCACCAGCTGAGATTTTAATGAGACATTTCCCTTTGCCATGGTCCAGGACCGTTCAGGAAAGGAAAGACTTCTCATAGAAAACTCAGTTAATAGGCATTGTTGGCTCTCCCTGCCACTTGGGCAATTGCTCACTGCACTGACCTTCTATTTTGGCATATTCTGTGAGTCTAGTGTAATTGATCAAGGCAGCTTTCTCGAGGCATTTTCTGACCACTTTCTTCACCTCTTCTGCTGGTATGGGAGTGGCAATATCTTTCATTAAAACCTACCAAGAAAGAGGTGAGGGAGGGGGGAGAGACAGATAGAAGATAGATGTTGCATAAAATAAATACTTAAATGAGACAAATTGTCCTAGACACGCCTATTCCTGGGGAGGGGGAAGGGGTCCTCTGTAACTTGGGGGTAAGTAACCGGGGTCGGCACTTCACAACTGGGAACCTAATCCTCAGATCTTGGTTCCTCCTGTCTAAGCCTCATTTATGCACATCCAAACCTCCCATAGGCCAGGCCACCATTCAGTGTGACTGTCACTTTTCCTCAAGGGACCCAAGACACCATTAGAGGAGCTGTTTCAGGTCAGGATTACAGTTCCTGGGACAAATAATAAACAAAGTTTGTCTTGTACTTCTCTAATTTAAATGCCCTAGCTCTTCTGAGCAATATATTTGAAAATATTAAGAGAAATTCCACTAAGAATTGGCATACTGCTCCATCTCTATAAAAATCAAAAGTACTTCTTTCACTTATTAAACTTTAATGACTGTGATCTACTGAACATTACTATCACAAACTATAAAAATAAGGGAAAGGAAACTTCTTTGTCTTAGTGAAATGTATCAAAGGCTAAACTATATGGAAACTTCCTGCAGTTTTGAACAAAATAACTAATTATTCTCTGTTGGGTTCCAAAAATGTGTTTTTGGAGTTTTCCTTAAAACCTTTTATTATTGGCAAGGAGCAAATACAATTATATCCAAAATTCAAAATGTCATATGAATGTAAATACTTTTATAATGACTCGATCATTTTCTCTGAAACTTTCTTAGTGATGCAATTGATCAAATAACTTTTGATTATACTATTAGTCAAACTCCAATATAGTGAGCAGTTTTTCTTGTTGTGCTTATATTTAAAGGACAAAATAAATGACAAAATATAAAGAAGTTGATGCTTTTGTAAGTGCTCTAATTATTTTATTAGTGTGCTGTCTTGAAAGAAATATTGAAAGAACATGAAAAAAGCTATTTAATCATTATTTCATTCTTTTTTTTTAAATCAGCCTCATCACTAAGGATATTGCCATCTCTAATTTATTCAGTCATCCAAGAGTCTGATAACCATTTTAACATTTTATTATGTAAGATAGCCTTTTTTTGTAAACAATAAACTTTATCATTTACAAAATGTCTTCCTTTATCAAATTCAACTATTCTTCATGCTATTCTGACACTTTAATTAGAACTATACTTTAGATTCTCTGTAGCCAGAAAAATCTGGTTGTGCATAATAAAATACATGTAAACATTAAACATGCATCATTCTATTAAATATGATTATTGCTGAAGTTTAACATTAAGATCAATTTTGTTAGGAAGAATTATTAATTTTATCATTAGGCTTCCTATGGCAATAAACTTTAAATAGCTAAAATAGCTACTAGAAATTACAATGTATGACTGCCACAGAGATTAGGCCATATTTCATATATTGTAAGATCTGGGCACTTAATTTGGAATGGGGTAAACTTGAATCCTCTTTTCTGGTGAAGCAAGAGAACCAACTTCTGTTTTCATACTTCCTTCCTGTGTTCTTCCCAGGTTTCATAGGTATTAAGGATGCACATGTAGATTTAATTTTATTTTTCTAAGTTGTCAGTAAGAGACATTAAAAAAAAAAAGAAAGAAATGGTCCTTAACATTTCTCTCTCAATTCACCAAAAAGTGTGATTGTGACTAAAACTGGAATAAAGGTCACTGTTCATCCTGTCACCTCTCAAATGCATGGCATGAGGGCATCTCTGCTATTACTAACTATTCCCTGCTGCGAGGAGGAGGGCAGCTCTGCCATGGAAACCAGGATCTAGAGAGGCTGCCCTAGGTACAACGTGATGGGATGCAGTTCCAAAAACTAAAGCAGTCTTTATGGATTTCAGTTTATGCACGATAGCTTAATGAGCTGAATGAAATGAATATTCTGAAAAGCTTGGGTTGCATGCAACATTTATTACAAAAATTCTAGCACAACATAATTTTATCATAATATTTCTATCACACAGTGCTCAACAATCAGGGATAAGACAGGGATATATAAATGAAATCAGTCCATAATCCGAAGATTTCATTTTAATCATCAGTTCTAGTCCTCATATCCCTTGTTCTTAAGTCACTGTAATGGGGCTGTAATATCTGAGCAATGTCCTCCCTTTCTGTTTTTACTGGAGTTGCTAATAAACAATGAAAATCTCTAAAGTTAATTTGGCAGAAAAATACACAAGAACCAGTCGATAAATCAGGACCAGGATAATTGAATCATGAGCTATAGATGATACCCAGAAATTCTTTTAAATTCTGATATTGACCAGGAGCTGACTACTTTACTCAACATGTTTAACCATTAGCATCCAACTAGCATATGAGATCTATAGAGGAATGAAAAAGATACCTCTCAAACCTCAACTGCCACATAAAAAGAAGTGTATACTTTCTTTTAAAATTGATTTTTAGCATGAATTTAAACTCTTATTTGCTATTTTATCTTGTAGAGCAAAACTCTTTCTAAAACTTGTGAATTCATTTAAAGAAACACATAAATTGAAGTGAAATAAATTCCAAGACCTATTTTGAATGAAATGAATGACAGGAGTGATGTGTTTGTACATATTAAATGATATACTGTGATAGTCACTGAGGATAGTGGCAAGCAGAAGTACAATAAAGTTGAAGAGATAATAAAAGACCTTGAAAAACAGAGATAATTAACTGAAACAAGAGAAGATTAATCCATGAAAGGAAAAAAAAAAAAAGAAGTGGAAATATGGATATTATCATGGGCTAAGGTTATAGCTCAGTGGTAGAGCACTTGCCTCAAACGTGTGAGGCTCTGGGTTTGATCCCTCAGCACCACATAAAAATAAGTAAAATAAATAAAGATACTGTGTCCATCTTTTAAAAATCTTTTTAAAAAAAGAAATATGGATATTATCAAAAAAAAACAGGATGGCAGTGGAAAATCTTCCAGGAGGGAGAAGCTGGTAGTGGGAGAACTTGAATGTAGTAAGAAAAGGTAATAAATTCAGGAAATGCAACAAACTCCTGTAGTAGACTATGAGGGATGAGACTGTATGCCTAGTTCAATAACCAATATACACAGAAATTCAGAATGCAAATAGACTTTACAAAGTAATGTTCAAACATACCCTTTCAAGTAATGAGAGTGTAGCTTTTAGAGCACCTTCAGGTCGTCCAAAGGGAAAGCAATATCTTTAAAGACAAAAAGAAGGAACAAAAAAAATCAAACATTTAATACCCAAGAGGTAAATGATTCCCACTTATATTACTTGGCATTATTAGAAAACCACAGAAACAGCTTAAAATAGCATCATCTCATCCAGGAAAACTTTTAACTGCTAAAATTTACCTAGCCCTATGATTTAAAAGCTTTAAATAATAAAGGTATCAACTGTGATGAAAAAGTTGAGTTTTGATGAAGCATGTATTCAAAGAGGACACTCAATTAAAAAGAGCCTCAAGGGTCATTCACAAAGAGATAATTAATATGCACTACCTAATAATTTCTTGTTTTAAGGTTTGTTATTATTAAAGCTCTAGGAGAAAATGAAATGATTTCTCCCATTTCTTCCCATAATTAGTGTGTTTGGAGATGGAAACATTTGCACAAGTTCCCCATCCCCTTTGCTGATACTCTGCCTTGCTACCATGGTGTCTAATTCTTCTTTCTCCCTACACCACACAAACCCTCTGCACTTCATGGGTCAGCACAGTTATCTGTCCCAAGTATTTCTAGTCCCATGTATTCCAACTAAATAGCAACAACTGGAGTGCGGGCAGGTAATGGGGATGTTCTGAAATCAGGGTTAGAGGGGGCTAGGAGAAGGAGTGGACTTCTTTTAAAGTCAGTTGCCACCAGATGTTAACAGGTTCATTGCTCTTGACAAGGGAGTCCTTCTTCAGGTCAATTTCCACTTAAAGAGTTACTGAGTATCAGAGCTATTTCATCTGGCTGCAGCTCTTTGCTTGTTGAGCCAGATCCAGCAAAGCACCCTCTTTCCAGGACTGCCATGTCCCTCCTCAAGATCAAGGGCTACAGGCAGCTGGCTTTCCTTAGGCTGCCACCTTGTTCTGGCTTAGAAATCTGCAAACTCATGACTTAGAAAAAAGTTTACTCATCTTCATGTCCTTTTCCATTATTTAGGGGCTTGGTGGACTTGTTTTCTCAGATGCAATAATGAAATAAATTTTTGCATACTATGATTCAAACAGGTTACCCCCCCCTGTTATTAACAAATTATTTAAGTATAATTTGTTTTATGCATATTTTTAAAGAAAAAGACTGATTCCTCTCTTTCTTTCTTTTAAAACAAAGCAGTAATTAAATTTATCTCAGGATTAGGTCTTAGGTTCATAAAACTTTCACTAGTCACAGATACATGCAAACTAATACTATATAAATTTAGTCACTTAACTTTTTTCCTTCAGAATACTGTTTATCATTATATTTACTGTTAAAATTTTCCTTAACCTTGCTTCTACTCACCCTTTTATTCTCCCCGCCTAAAATAAAGCCACAACTAATTTATTTTAATAGTTTTCTCTGTGCTGTGGTGCTTTTTTTTTTTTAAGAGCATTAGCAAATTAGCAAAGTAGCTTTAATCATTTTCTATACTATAAACCGTAATCCATGTTGAAATAAAACACAAATTGGGTTCTTGTAGTTCCCTCCCCCTGCTTAATCTTTTCAGTGCATTTGCATAATCCATCCATTGTCTTTCCTATTGTTTATTTCCACTAACCTGTGGGTGACACATTTTATGAATGGAATGTTACTGATCCCCAGATTACATTTAGCATTTCAGGACTCTGAGGTCCCACTGGGTATGTTCTGAATTAGCATTAGCTGCCCATGATGTGTAAGTAATTCAACACATTTACAGAGTACAAGTAATCCCGAATCAATAAAGTACAGAAAATAACTACACAGAAGCTTAATTAATCTTCACAAAACACATTTTAAAAGAAGGTAATCGTTTTGTTCTGCTTTTCAGGATAAATATTTTGGGTTTTTACTACTCTATCAGCTCTGTAATGGCAAGGCAAAGTGGAAAACACTCAATTACCAAATAAAATACAGCCATATTTAATAACTAATCTGAGTAAATTGAAGTCAACCTCATTCGAACTTTGGTAAATTAATCACAGATAAATGAGACTGTATAGACCTGCTCTATGATTAATCATATTCTTGTTTATTTTTAAAATTTTCAAAAATATATTTTTAGATATTGATGGACTTTTATTTTATTCATTTACTTATGTGGTGCTGAGAATGGAACCCCGTGCCTCACACATGATAGGCAAGCCCTCTGCCACTGAGCCACAACCCCAGCCCTTCATTTTCTTGTTTATTTTTAAAGTATACTATTTATTTTTATCAAATTTATGTATGCATGTAATCTAAAGAGAAAACTTCTTCTGACAGCCTTTTATTATGAAAAATAGAAGTCTTTTATGTTTGTTGCACACACCCTAAATAATTTGTGCATTTCTAGAGGAAAACATGTCAGTCTTTAAGTTGACATCCCTAAGTTGCACACTAATATTTTTACTTCTTGATTTTTAGTTTTATATATTATCCTAGCTTCCCACTGCAGTAGAGAAGCCCTTAGTATTTATTTTTCTTCCTTCTTTCCTTCCTTCCTTTCTTTCCTCCTCCTCCTTCTTCTTTTTCTTCAGTGTTGGAGATGAAACCAGGGCTTTGCAACACTAGGCAGGTGCTCTACTACTGAGTCACATTCCTCAGCACTGCATCTATTTTTTAAAATAGCTTTATTTATAGGTGTGTCATACAATGAACTGCACACATTTAAAGTACATAATTTGGTTAAGTTTTGTCATACTCATACACACATACACATGAACATGCATGCATGAGGGTGCGACACACACACACACACACACACCCTTGTGAAACCATCACTGAAAGCAAGGTGATTTCTGGCCCCTGAATATTTCCTCACAGCCCCAGAAAAACCACTGATTGACTTTCTGTTATTTGGTTGGTTTGGATGTAAGGAGAAATATACAGTATGTGCTTTTTGGGAGAGAAGACCATATTGGACCCCAAACTATACTTCTTAGGGCCTGGTTTCTTTCCCTCAGCATAATTTTAATATTAATGCACTCTGTTATATGTTTCTATAGTTCATTCCCTTATACTGCTGAGTGGTATTCCAAAGCATGGAACATACTGTTTATCCATTTCTTGTTGATAGGTATTTGGCTTGTTTATATACTTTGTTTATTATGAATAATGCTGAACTGAGCATTCATATCAAAGTCTCTGTGTAGACATAGGCTTTCATTTCTCTTGGAGTGAAATGAACAGGTTCTATGATAGGTGTTTAAAGTTCTAACAATCCGCTGGACTAGTTTCCAAAGAAGGTTGTACTATGACGTTTCTATAGCTAGCGTTTCAGAGTTCCACACTGGCGATTCCAAAACATTTGGTGGTTAAAAAATTTCACATTGCTCATTTATGCTTCTTTTTTTCTTGGATTAGATACCATTAGATACCATTCATCCATCTGACCTCCAAAACATTTTTCACAACTCTTTTGTTTGCCATTTCCTCCTCTCTTACTCTTGCTGTTCTTGTGGGTTTATGCCTTCTTGAGAAATACTGTTCTGTTGTTTCAGTCAGATTGTGTCAGGACACTAAGCCAGACCTGTGTTTAATGTGTCATTTTTTGTTTCTGTCAGTCTGCCATCTTTGACCAGAAATTCTTCATTTCTGTTTATTTGGCCTTATTATGTTTTCTGAAATTCATTTCTAGAATATCATTGGGTTAAACAGACAAATTCCTATAGAAGAGCTGTGAAGTTACCATGCTTCTTTATCATGAGTTCACAAGCAGTTCTTATTTTTTTTTTT